TGATAAATGCCATTGAATGGCTGAAATCATCATCAAACGATGAATGGGGAGTAAAAATATATGTGAATGAATTTTGGAAAGCAAGGCGTAGCGACTGAAGAAGAAATATTAAGGAAAAATTGAAGAATGAACTACGAACGGTTCAAAAAGGAGTCGCTGTAAGTAAGAAAAGTAAAAATATAAATATTAAAATAAAAATATTAAAAAATTTATCAACAAATGAAAAAAACAGAATAAATAAAAATCTAAAAATACCAATAAATAAATAAAAAATCAAAAAAATTTCAATTAAAAAAAAAATTAATCCAAAGAACAAATATCAAAAAAAAAAAAAAATACTAATTAAAAGAAAAATTCATATTAAAAAAAATTAAGAACATCAAAACATGAAAAAATTAAAATGTTAAAATAAACAAAAACCTAAAATAGAAGTAGTCATAAATTATAAAATTAGAAAGTAAAAGATAAATTCAAACTAAAAAAAAAATTGAAATATAATAAAAATTTAGAAAAATAAAAATAAATGAATAAATATTAAAAATATTATGAGAATAAAAATAATATACAACTTTAAGTAAATAAACTAGAATACTAGGAGAATAATTTTTTAGTACGAAGCAAAGCTAATATTTTCTTTTCCATTTTTTGTTATGTAAGACAGCAGCTATTAACTGCGTTAACTACATAAGTGTAAAATTGTTTGCACCATCTCTATGTGTGTGGTAATAACTAGGTTCTCATAGAAAACATTCGTAAAATGCCTAAATTTGTTTTTTCGCAACCTTTTCTTCATTTTAATTTTTTTTTGTTGTAAATTATTATTGTTCTAAGCGGCATGTCAAAATTAATTCTAGGCTTCCAATGTATAATTATATTTATTTTATAATAATTTCAATATTCTTTCATTTCTCATTTCTAAACTATTTTTATCCTAGAAACTTTTGTTTTTTTATCTTATTTTTTATTTAATTTAATTTAATTTTTAATTCATTTCATTATATTTTATTTTGTTTTAGTTTATTCAATTTAATTCAAATAAGTTTAATTAGTTGAATTTAATATTTTTTTGTTTATTTTTTTATTGCATTTTATTTTATTTTTTTATTTATTTTGTTTTACTAGTTTATTTAATTTTATTTATTTTAAACAAGTTTAATTTAGTTTAATTTAATTTGGTTTATTTTAAATTTATATCTTTATTTCGTTTTATTTTATTCTGTTTCTTTTTATTTTAGTTTATTTTATTTTATTTTATTTTATTCTATTTTATTTTATTTTATTTTATTTTATTTTATTTTATTTTTATTTTATTTTATTTTATTTTACTTTATTTTATTTTATTTTATTTTATTTTATTTTATTTTATTTATTTTTATTTTAATTTCGGTTTTTTTTAATATTTTATTTTAGGATTTCTCATTCGCCGCTATTAGCTTTTTGAACCTGCTAAGGTTAATACACATATAATTAATTTGTATCCACAAGCCAAAAAAAAAACTTAATTTGCGTTATTTTCATTTGAAAATTATAGTTTTAGTTTCTATGAGCTTCATAATTGGGGAGGTCTAAAAAATAAACAGAGAAAAAAATTAAATTAAAAAAAAACATTTAAAGCAAAAGCTGAGGAAACGCCTTAACCCTTCACACTCTGGCCAGAACTTTTTGAACTCAGCTAATTGAGTAACAAGAAATTATGTATTTTTTAATTATTATTATTATTTGTTTTTATTTTGAGATTTACTACCTCTCAAGAATTTAATGCGTCTACTGAGTTGATAAACAGTAAATGTCGAGAAAATAATAATAGAAAAAAGTTATTAATGAAATAAAAAATATTTTAAGCGTTACAAAAAGTGCAAACATTTTTGGTGGCTTGTTTTTGTAAAAGTAAAAACCGTCATTTCAAGCACACTAAAAGCACATATATTTCCATAATTATGCTGATTTACTTTGATGATTTCTCATAATTTTTAATTGCTTTGCTATACATATTTAAGCGTGCAAACATACATACATACACGTATGTATTAACAAATGTGAGGCTTAATAATCATAATTAGGCACAGCACGCACTTATTATGTCTCGCAAACAAACAAGAGAGACGAAAAAAAAATATTTTAAAAATAACTTTGACTTCAACTGCAAAAAAAAATTATACTTCTACCAAGAAATTCGAGAAAAATATCAGAGAATACAAAAAAAAATGCGTAAGCGGTGTTGGGAAGCTGCGTTTGTGTGCTTAATTAAGAGCTGGACCCAGCAGTTGGCATGAAGAAGAAAGACAGCAAGTTTATGAGTATGTATGTGTTAACAATTTTCATACTTTTTAAAGGCGGAGCTAGAAAATAACTTTTACTTGTAGAATAATTTGAATTTTTCAGTACATTTTTATTTAAATAAAAATCACTAACTCTTTTAATATTTATGTTAACATGGAAAACAAATTTAACGAATTAATTTCGTACCATTTCGGTGCCATATTATCGAAATGAAATGAAATTTGTTAATGTTGAAACCGCACAAACTCATCGTTAACGCCAATTTTAAAATTACTGCTTGCTATGCTATTAACAGTACACTTCAATGCTACCCTTGAACATTATCTGTTATCTTTTAACATTATCTGTTATCGGTTTTACATTATCTGTTAAGGTCTGACCATTATCTGTTAATGATTTAACATTAACGACAGCTCTACGTTTCAGTTAAAAACGAAACAAAAATTATTTTGATTACTGTCTAGACTATAAAATTTCCAAATTTTTCAACAGCATCGATTAAAATATTTTGATTAACGTAAAACGTTGATTTACAAACAACCCCTTATTGAATTTAACATTTAATTTTAACTCAACGAAGTTTTATTAATACTGCAGAAAAACATTTTTACACAATTTTTTGTTTTCATCTGCAATCAAAACCTTTAGAGAATTCGTAAAAAATTAGAAAAAAATTAAATCGAACTGTTTTTGTGCTCTTAACCTCATAACATTTTCATTTTAAGACAGCAATAAACTTAGGCACAGCAGACTTTAGGTGAAAAATTGCTTTCGTCTGTCGCAAGATATCGTTGGAAAGTAACCGGTTCAGGACATTTAATTAATTAACGTAATTTATCAGGCTTTGACAGAAATAGAGATAAGCAAAACAGGTAGGCGATATCGGCCAGAGAATAATAATACACCCAAATACTTGAAATGGCAAGGAAAAGTGGAAAACAAATTGGAAAGGTTTTCAGTATTCATTGTACAGGATTGTACATTTTGTGGTTTTGAAAGTAAACGTAAATAAAATACATTTAAAATATTTTTTTTTCATTAATTTCCTTTTTTATAATAAAGTTTGAACCTTGGGTATTATATGTGCAACACTACCTACATCATTCAATTGAACGCTTTGCGAATTTTTGCAAACTTTCCACCGTTTGAGGTAATTTTCGACCACTTTTTGGCACATATTGGATGGTATATCAGTCCTAACTTGAAGACTGTTGGTTTTCAAGTACTCAAGAGTTAAAGATTTATCTGCATAAAGTCGGTCTTTCGAATAGCAACTGATAGCAAGGTTTTTTTTTGTTTTTTTGGAAAAGAAAAAATCGATAAATCGATAATTGCCAAATAATTGAAAATCCTGTCAGCAGCTGCGCGCAATCTCTTTAACGAAATGTATTTTTCCAGTTAATTTAGAGCACAAAAATTGAGGAAATGCTGACAGTGAATGAACACACTTCTACACTTAAGAAGAATTTTTCAGCGCTGCTTGCCTGATGCCCGCCAGCTGCCCGCCACAGATATTTAATGCAGTGAAAAGTGCACACACCCTATTATTTTGTATATTCTTAATCAGCAAGCGAAATCGCATTTACAACGAGCAATATTTAGTACACCAGAGTTCTTGCAAACGGAAAAATGTGGATTTTCAAGCTGCAAAAAAGGAGAGAAAAAACCTGAAAAAAATCGAAAATCGCATAAAATTGCATTGGGGCGTCGTCATGCGTATCCTTGTGAGCGCAGCGCAAGCAAACAATGTGATTTTTATTATTATTATTGCATTTATTGCCATCATTATGGCACAGCGATCGATACAGAGTTGCATTGGTGGCTAAGGTGGCTTAATTCTTGTTTTTCCCCTTCTTTGCTTTTTCTTTATCTGCTGAAGCTGCTGCTCAACCTTGTTGTTTGCTGTGATGCACCGCCGTGATAATTTCTACCGCCGTTGGCAAAAACACACACACACACAAATACACATTTATACAACATAAACCGCGACGTTATATCGCTGCTACAAGGCAGCAACATACATCTGTACACATTGCAACAACAACAACAAATGCTTAACAGATTTACAATATTTGCGCGGAAAGAGTAAATGAAAATCACACAACGAGCGCCGGTAATTGTTCTTCGACCATTTTTTTTTAATGAATTTTTCAATTTTTTTTTAGAATTTTCCATTTGACTGCTTTTGGTGTTGTTATTCGTTTGTTATTGGCCTTACTTTTGTGTTGTTAATTGTTATCTACATTTTCGTAATCAATATTTTTTCTTATTTAATGATCACTTGGCTAGTTTTTATTGTTGTTGTTGTTGTTGTTGTTGTTGTATTAATGATAATTCTGCTGTTATTGTTGTTGTTGTTGTTGTTGTTGTATTAATGGTGTTGTTGTTGTTGTTGTTGTTGTATTAGTGTTGTTGTCGTTGTTGTTAAGCTTTGTCTTCGCTCGCGCTTGCACAATGTGTGGCAGCAAATTATAGTTTTTAAGATCATATCGATTTTGTAGCTCAGCAGCTGACGTTGACGCAGTTTTGTTGCTTTTGGTTGTGCAATTAATTGCATAGGAAATCACAATTCAATGGAATTCTCCTTATTTTATGGGCAAAATTACTTTTTTTTATTTAATAAACTTAATTCTCAAGCCTTTTTGCGACTATTTGTTATTATAATTTGACGGCATAGGAGTTGTTGTAATTTTAGTTTCAATGTTGTAATTGTTACTCACCTTTATATTTTTCCTTCTTTGATGAGAAGTACAGTTATGATTACGGTATTAGGCATATAATAAGCTCAGCAACTGCATACTGTTTGGATTACTGGAAGAAAGAAGAAGAAAAACAAATTAGCTTAACATAATTTAATGAAAAAAATTAATAGAGAAAGTAAATAGATAAATGTAAATAAAAAAAAACAAAATGAAATTGAAGAAATTGCAACCGGAGAAAACCGAATTGAGGAAAAAACTAGAAAAAATGAAATTAAATTTAATTAAATAAAATTAATTAAGCAAGATATAATATCTAAAAAAAAAAAATAAACGAAATAAAATCAACTAAAAGAAAACACTATAAAATAAAATAATATAAAGTAACAAAAAAAATATCAAAATGATATAAAAGAAAAATAAAATAAGAAAAAAGAACAAAATCAAATTAAATAAAACAAATTAAAAAAATTAAATTAACTAAAATAAAGCAATATAAAATAAAGTAAAACCAAATTGAGTAAAATGGTCTTAAAACTAAATCAATTAAAATGAAATAAAGTTAGATTAAATTAAATAAAACAATTTGATCTAATCAAATCGAATAGAATAAAATAAAGCAAACAAAATAAAACGAATAAAATAAAAAAATAAAACAAAATAAAACAAAAAGAAACTAAAATACGCATAATTAAAATAAAATAAGAAACTAAATCAAATAAAAAGAAATTAATTAAATAATATGAATTAAAATAAAATAAAGTAAAATGTAAAATATATAAAAAATATGTTTTAAAAATAAAGAAAACAACGAAATGATATAAAAAAATCAAGTCAAATCAAATTAAGTCATGTCAAATAAAATAATACTTAAAAAAAAAATAAAATAAAAAAAATAAAAAATATAAAAAAAAGATAAAATAAAAAAAGTAATAAAATTAAATAAAATTAAATGCAACTACAATAATTAAAATAATATAAATTAAAAAAAATTAGCAAAATAAAAAGTGTATAAATATAAAAAAAATATATATAAAAAATAAAGATATTAAAATAAAATAAAAAGAAAACAAATTAATATTAAGAAAATAAAATAAGATAAAATAAAGAAAAATCAAATATATTATTTTAATAAAAAGTAAAATTGATTCAGTTAAATTAAATTTAATTAAACTCAAAGAAGGACTTAAAGAGATAAAGTAAAATAAAATGAGTTAAAACTATATATTGAATAAAATTATTTTGAATAAAATTAAACCAAACTGAGTTAACTGAAATAAAGTATTTGAAACCAAAGTAAAAAAAAATTAAATGAAGTTAAAAAGGAAACATATCTCATATGCAAAAAAACTCCATTGAAAAATCTTATATTTTCTTATGCAAAAAATATATATTAATTAAAAAAAAGAAAACAAAAATTCATTTAGCTATAGATTTACGAATGTGTTGCATATGCTATTCGTGCTCCTTCCTGACCATTTAACGCTTTTAGAACACAAAAATGAAACCTTCTAACTTCCAGCTGGCCTTTAAACACTAAACCTTCCACGCTACCAGACACGCATGCGCACACAAAGCCGCATTTTGATGCTTTAATATGGCATTTATAAAGTTGTTTAACCCTTTCGCGACCTTACAACACTCAAATGCATAAAAAAAAAGATTAAAAAAAAAATTAAAAGAGTATCAACGCAAGCGGCAAGTTGATGGCGCACAACAGCAGCAACCACAAAAACCACAACAAACCGGGTATTACAATGCGACAGTGGCGCGTGCGTATTCGTACATACACAGATATTTATTTTACATTATATGCAGACAGCGCATAATGTTCATGCAACGCATTGTGGGGACGATGCACGATAGTGCAGCAGAAAAATATGCTTTGAGTGGGCAATAAGTGGTAAGTTTTCAGGCAGACAAAGTGGTTAAAGAAATTAAAAAATTAAATTACACTCTTTTAAATAAAAAAGGAAAAAAAACCCTTTAAAAAAATAAATAAAAATTTCTTAAAGCCCACACGTTTGTTGCAAGCATAAATAAAGCATCTGTTGCATTAAATTGAGATCGTTGCAACGCACAGACAGCTTTCTTGCTATTCACGGCTTTTTATTCACTTTTATTTTTTCTTATTTTTTTTTTACTAATTCCCCTAGTTACTTGTGCGCTAATGTTCAATGTCTGTTGTTGTTGTCTATTTACGCAATTAAACTTAATTTGTTGGCGTTCTACGCGAAATTGCTGCCCAACACTCTTACGCTCACAAAAACAGGCACACACACACTGACGACAACGACGCATTTTAAACGAGTGAGTCACTCAATCAAGCGAATTGCTTGACCTGATTGTCTGCTAGTTGAGCTAAAAACTCTTACACATACATACATACGTATGCACATACCAAATGACAGTTATATAGATGAAGCGCTAGTTGAATTACCGCACGCAAATCGTCCATTCGCGAATCGCGCACGCGTGCCATTATCAAGCGGCGGATGTGCGCTTCACGGGTAGCCAGCGCGAATGACTTCTCAGTGGCACAGACGAAGAGTCAGTGACGACTTAAATAGCATGCAAGAGGATTTGCAATTAGACACACACACACACACACACACACACATTTGCAATTGCCGATTAGGCGATCAATTTGCCATGAATCACAGCGAAAGAGTGGCAATAAATAATTAGGAGTATCAAGATGTGCCAATATTTACTTGATTGCGATTGAGCGTTGCGGTAATCAAAGCGAAATTAGTTGAATTCAAAACGAAAAAAAAAATAAATTTAAATAAGCACAAGAATTAAAAATAATATATGAACAATAATTAAATAAAAAAGTAAGATGAAAAAATAAAAACAAATAAATAAAAAAAATTAAATCATATAAACAATATTAAAAAAAAAATTATTATAAAGTAAATAAAATTAAAATAAAATAACTTAAAAGTCTTATAGAAATGCGAAATAAAATAAGATAAAATTAAAACAAATAAAACATAGTAAAATAAAAAAACAATAAAAAAAATAAAATTTAAATACATAAAATAAAATAAAATAATACAAAATAAATTTAAATTAAATTGAATTAAATATGGAAAATAAGCAAACTAAACATAAAATCAAAAAAAAATTATTAAATAAAATAAATAAAAATATATATATAATAAATAAATTATAATAAAAAACGAATTATAATAAGATAAAATTAATTTGAATAAAATCGAATAAAAAATAAAATATAGTGAAATAAAAATAAAATTGAAAAAATAAAAGGAAATAAAATAAATAAAAATAAAATAAATTAAAATTAAATTAAAAAGAAATAAAATTAAAAAAAAATTAAATAAAATAAGATAAAGTAAAATAAAATAAACTAAAATAAAATAAAATAAACTAAACTAAAATAAAATAAAATAAACTAAAATAAAATAAAATAAAATAAAATAAAATAAAATAAAATAAAATAATATTAAACTAAATTAAATAAAACTAAATCGAATAAAATAAAATATAGCAAAATAAAATACAAATAAAAGAAAAAAAATTAAAATAAAATTATTATTTCAAATAAAATTAAAAAGTTATTTATAATAAAAAGCAAAATAAAATGCAAATAAAAATAAGATAAAATAAAATAAATTAAATTTAATATAAAAAAATATAAAAAAGTTTAATTGAAATAAAATATAAATAAAAAATAAATATATAAGATTTTAAAAAATAGAAATAAATTGAATAAAATATACTCATATAAATTAATATAAAAAAAAATAAAATAAAATAAAAGAAAAGATGTCAAATAAAACATAATAAAAAGCAAAATAAGATCAAAATAAAATAAAATCACAACAAAATAAAATAAGTTAAAGTAAAATAAATTAAAAAAAAAAATAAATAACACAAACTAAAGTTAAGTGAATTAAAAATTAGTTCTACTAGTAAAAGACCAAGGTTCGACCCTGGTTCGAGCAACATCCAAAAATATAAAAAATTGTTTTTTTCTAATATGAAATTAAATTAAATTGAAGAAAATAAATTGAACAAAAGTATAAATATATTAAATAAAATTAAAAAATATCTTTGCATTTAAGCATAAGTTTTGAAAAATCTCAGCTAATAATGGATGGAAATGCAAACGTAGCACATATAAATGCAATAAATAACGGCATTGCTGTAATTCTGTTACACCAAACAGCGCTGATTAAGTTTAAGATATGTAGGTATATATATATGTTTATGTGTAGCTTCTAAAAAAAAATTTTATCGCTTATGGCTGCCAAACATTTATTGCTTGTATAATTTGGGCGTTGAAAATTGTCGCAGCCATCAAATGAGCCGCAAAGTGGCGTAAGTTAATAAATTAACGCCTAAATAAGCACATGAAATTCTTATTATGTTTTTTTTTTTATTTTTGTTGCTCTAATTTTTTCCTTTATTTATTTTATGAATTTTTCTAAATTTCTTCACCAACCAACTTCCGCGCCACGGCACAATTAAAAGACGCGCGAACGCCTCGCCACACGCCGCCAGCGTGTCCGTCACACATATTATTTTTAATATTTTCATAAACATAACGGCATCTTTAGCTAAATTATGTTGACATATAAAAATAAATTTCAAATATAGTTTCGAAAAATATACTTTAGCAGGGAAAATATTATATGTATGTGCTTCCCGATTTAGAATTTTTGTGCGCCAAACTTTCGTCGAAACTCTAAATTTGAAATTTTTTTTTCGGCTGAAACATTTAGTTTTCTTTCTCTCTCTCTCTGGTTGGCCTATTTAATCTTTTTTTTTGTTGTTTATGTCATGTATAATTAAAATAAATTTAAGTTTTTGTTTTCAGTAATGCGGTGGGAGGAGTTGTATGTGGCATCACTGAGATTTGCATTTAGGAGCTAAATGAAATACTACATACACACATACATTTGTTTATATATATATGTGCGTTTTTAATGCATTTTTGTGCTTCCTGCTGACATTAATTATTTAAAAATTCATTAAATTTGATATTCTCAATATTCATGCGGCGAAAGTGCGCACAATGCACATACATATGTATGTATATGTATGTATGATATAAACTGCTTGCATTTCGAAATCACAAATGTT